CCGCCGCCGCGCCCCCGCCCGTGCAGTAGTAGGCCCAACCGATGTGGCAGGTCCCTGCAAGGGAAACAGAACGACAAGCATTTGAGGATATTATTTTTGACTGAGATCTCCGAAAGCAAGGAGATGACTATCGTTACTCCTCAGGATCTCAGGCCATCTCAAAAGTGATTTTCACTTGGGCTGCACCATCTTGGTAATTTTGATCTTGAGTACTTGGGACTCTTTACAGCTGAGGTCCTCCCTGTTGTGCCATCTTGGGTGATATCGCCCTGCTTTGAGCAGTGAGTGCTCTCAGTAAGACTCAAGCAGCAGTACAACACTCCCTTCTCACCCTCTGGAAAAAGCAGCAGAAACCATTCCTCCCTCCAGAGAACAGAAGCTAACAACAGAGTTTCCATCTAGAAAGACACAGCTGAAACAGGTGGCATGTCCATACTACTCTGTCCCAGTGGCATCCCTGAGGGCCAGGCTTCAGGTTCAGGCAACGCAGCTAATCCTGCCTCAGGCACAAGACACAGAAGATGTCTGTACATCTCAACATATCCAAAGCATTAGCATGCCTCAAGGCAGGTAGCACGTCCATTGACTCTCTGCAGGATATGTCAGGCCAGCTTTGTAAGGAGTGGGAGCCAACACTCACGGTCTTGGCCACTCTGAAGATCTCAGGTTCATACCACAGCAGGAACCATAGTACTTGTTTCATTTTTTCTTCATAATTCTCAAAACTTTTTATCTATAAAAATGCCCAGTGAAACAAAGATCCTGACGTGACCAGAAGATTTGATGAGCTGTGGCCTTGGCTTGAGCTTATTAGCATCTCTCCTTAATGTGCTGGAGCAGACAGAGATTTACTTGATTTTGTAATCTGGTTATGCTCCGTAGATCAACACCATTCTTAGATTCCTTACAGAAGACCACACAATGTCTGACTCCCTAAAGAGAAGACCATCAGAAAACATGGAGCGCCACCAAGCACCTGGCAATGTCACTCATGCTGATCCTTGCCCAATTGCACAGCAGTCCCCAGAGAGACCTGTCCGTGGACCATGTACTGCTTCGCCTGTGTACACACACTGTCTACAGCTGCTGCTGGGACTTTCAAAATCAGACTTAAGTGTACATCAGATGTCTAAATCCATTGGGTTTCTTTGAGAATGATCACATTTATACCAGAGTGGGGTGTGCTAAAGCATTTCTTGTGATAAGACAGACTCCATCTGACAGGTCTTTTTAAATTGCTAAGAATTCTTAAAAGTACTAGAGTATTGTAGTTGCAGATTGAAAAATTAAATCTTTCTCATCATGATGCTTCCAAGTAGACAAAACAAATTTCAAAGTGCTACTTTAAAAAGAGTTTAAAGATTCACCTGGTAGCACTGTCCAAAGCTGTGACCTAAGTGGGATAGAATGTAGTAAATTTGAACTTTTGCATGGTGTGATTTCAACTTTTGTGCCTTGGTAGTGAGAGAGAAGGAGAGTGTACGTGTTACATATTACGAAGAAGGAACTGTTAAATCATTGTCAGAGATGTGCTTAACAGATACAACATGCACATTCAGTCTCTGCTGAAGAGAATAATGTTTATTTCTCCATAGCATGCTCCATTTACCCTAAGGACCACTGCCCTACTTAATGCTCTAAGGCATGGCAGGCAGCCTCTTGATCTAACAAACGCAATGTAGTTCACAAGTGTGAGTTGGGTCAAGACGAACAAATGAAGGAATGGGCGAGTGCAGGAGAATGGATGAAAGAGCCAGGAGCCTGACCTTAGAGCAATAATAACACAGCAATAAACCTGGCCATTATTTCCAGCCTGTGTCAGGAGCAACGGGAGGCCTCGGATAAAATAGCTTGATCTGTACTTGGATGATGCTGAGCAGAACAGCGTTTCAAGCTATTGTGTTCAAGCAGACCCTGCAGTGGGGAAGGTGTCTGAGGGTATAGGACTTCACTATAATATTAACTGTAAGTGTAGGTAAATCCTAGGTCCACAGCTAAGTATAGCTATATATAGCTATAAGGCCAGAGATAATCCACTTCAAAGGTACCTGTTGCAATGAACAATTGCTTACACTGCATAGCCACGTGTCAGAATGAAACAATGCTACCCCTTTTTTAACCCTCTGTTGCACGAGGACAAAAAATATTTTGTAGTTAATGTTTTTCCTCTGGTGTTCTCACTTTACCACATATATGACCTATTTTAATCCACTGCACCCTAAAGAAAGATTGTTGGTTGCCTATAATTGGGTAATTTAGTTGCAGTTTAAATTGTAAAATTATTTCTGCTTCACTTTGATATTAAACATTCATTTTAAAAGGAACAGGAAGCTTTATAAAAAGCAGGGTTGATGAGTAATTAAATGTAACACCAAATGAAAAGAAATACACCTATAGAAACGTTATATTAGCGAAGATCGACTCTGCTTTCCAGCTTTATATTTTTATATTATAATAATGGGTACCATACAAGGACTCTTTGTCACGTTCAAATTTTTTTTGCACTGACATCAATGGGACTAGTTATGTGTTTAGAGGTAAGCAAATGGTTAAGAGCTTTGCAGAACTGGGGCTTCAATTCAGCCATCAAGTAGAGCAGTTTGCCTTCCTGGAGCCCATCGTATTAAAGATTAGAAATGCTGCATTGCAGTTTCTCTTTTTTATATGTCAAAACACTAAAATGAAGAGCAAGACCACCTAACTACTTGACAGAATTAACACAATTAGCAAACCGTGTCAATTTTCACACACACAAACACACAAAAGCTGCTGTTTTCCTTAAGGATGCGTAGGAATACATACGTACAGGTAAAAGTGTGCCAGTCCACTGGAGGCGTGGAGAAGCATGCAAGAATGTGTACATGTTCTTGCTCATAACATGGGCTGGATCTGGTTTCATGCCAAAGTAAATTTCCCAGCAGCTGAAGTATTCTTCTAGCTTATAGGGATGACATGCATCACAGCAGCTTCCTTCTCTGCACAGAACTGGTGTTGCTTTAAACAAATCAGTCTTTATCTGACAGGTCAGTATGGAGGGAGAAGCTGTGGCTTCAGCATTTTGTTAGTTCTGGATCCTTTTTTTTTCTGGTAAAGGAGAGCATAAATAATTGGAGCTCTTGGTTGGTCAGTGAAGCAGCACTGTCCAAGTAGGCTCAGGTAAATTTGTAGCCAGCCATTAAGAACGTTGTTTTCACATTTGTTTCACTGGAATTGGCAGCAAGAGATTGTCAGGATGAACACTGAAATCACAGAAGAACAGACCTTGCAGCTGTAGGGCTGGATGGCAATTTTCCAACCAAATAAAAGAAGGAAAGA